TTAGTAATGAGACGCTGAGGACTTTTTTACTTGTTTTATATGGTTTTATATTATAAGTTAATTGTTTTAATGATAATTTATGTTGCTGGGAGCATCAAATTGTGCCGACTGTAAACCATCTTGAGTTGCCTTCGGATAAGTAAGTAAGTAAGTAAATAAATAAAATATGGACCTAATCACATAGGTGAGGTCCCCTGCATCGATTTGCCAGCCTCTGTGGCAAATCAACAGGGCAATCCCCGCATCCCGCCTTGCCATCAGCGACACTTCCCCATCACACATGGGAAAGCATTGCCATATGGCTTCCCCCCATGCTAGCCCTGTTGTTCCTAACGGGACACGAGGAGGCTCCCATGTTGCCAGTGCAGCATCATAGGACACTACCGCCACAGTTGAGCCATGGAGCCCCGCTGAAAGTGAGACTACATCATCTGATGGGCAGCGTGGGGCTCTGTGTCTCAACTGGGGCAGAAGTGTCTTATGACACTGAAAACCAATTGATGAAGACACCAGGCAAGATAAGATAAGTCTGGGTTGTCATGCATGTGGTGGTTGCCACTTATTTTGCAAAAGAGCTGCTGCTTCTATGGACTACAGCTCCCACAATCCCCAAGTATCATAGGCAGTTGTCATGTTGACTGAGGAAGTCGTAGAGTTGTAGCCAAAAAGGGGAACATTCTGAATTTGTCATAATAATATGAAAACAGTAAACTACGGAGAGGTGGGTGGCTTTTCTGGTCAAAGAGGGAGATGAAAAAAGAAAGAAACAAAACTTACACAGATGTGCTACAGCAGAGTCAGGAAACTTTTTTGTCAAGGACTGTCTGAACTTCCCTACCAACTGAGTGAATTGCTAGTAGAGGGACAGTTCACTCTTGCTAGGGGATTGCCTAAAATTACGATAAGAGCTACAGGATTCAAAAGAAAGAAAAGTAAACTGTTTACCATCAGTTATAGTAAATGGTAACTGTTCTTACAATTTCCCCCATTCTTTTAAATAGTTGTGATTTTATTGTATTTGAAAAAACCCTTAATAAATATATTCATATAGAAAAATGTTAGCCACCTTGTGCTATAGGAAGGACAGTGAAAGTCTGTGAGCTGAGCAGCCTAGGAATAATAAAGGAGTGCGGTAAAGGAGCCACATTTAAACATCTTTCCCTAAAGGGTGAGTGGGATCATCTGACTTGTAACTGTAGCCGATACCAAGATAACCAATCAAGATCACTTTGGAAGGAAAGTGGATGTATATAAATAGGGAAGTGGAGTTTGTAGCAAGTGGGAATATATATCTGAAAATGGCTTATGCTATGTGTAGAATAGAAGAATAAGAACACATCATAGGTGTAGTTTAAAAATCGTGATTGGGGAAAGGTGGAATGTCCAGTGTGCTAACTAGGACCATGCCCTTGCTTGCAGAGACAACAACAACAACAACAACAATTCCATTAGAACCAATGCCATCAAAGCCAGAATTGAAAAGTCGATGACAGATCCCAAATGTAGACTATGCAAGGAAGCAGGTGAAACAATAGATCACATCCTCAGCTGCTACAAGAAGATGGCGCAGACAGACTACAAGCAGAGGCATAACACCGTTGCTCAGATGATTCATTGGAACCTGTGCCACAAATACCATCTGCCTGCGACTAAGAACTGGTGGGATCACAAGCCAGAAAAAGTTACAGAGAATGAGCACGTCAAGCTACTCTGGGACTTCCGAATTCAGACAGACAGAGTTTTGGAGCACAATACTCCTGACCTCACGATCGTGTTAAAAAACAAAGTATGGATTGTCGATGTAGCAATCCCAGGTGACAGCAGGATTGAAGAGAAACAACTGGAAAAGCTGACACGATGTGAGGATTTAAAGATCAAACTGCAAAGACTCTGGCACAAGCCAGTAAAGGTGGTCCCTGTGGTGATCGGCACACTGGATGCAGTGCCTAAAGACCTTGGCCTGCACTTTAAAAAAATCAGCGCTGACAAGATTACCATCTGCCTGCTGCAAAAGGCCACCTTACTGGGATCTGCATTCATTATTCACTGATACATCACACAGTCCTAGACACTTGGGAAGTGTCCGACGTGTGATCCAATACAACAGCCAGCAGACTGTCTGTTGTGGACTCATCTTGTGATGTTTCAAATAATAATAATAATCATCATCATCATCATCTTTATTTATACCCCACTACCATCTCCCCAAAGGGGACTCAGAGCAGCTTACATGGGGCCAAGCCCAGTGATACATTACAGCAAAATAAAATTTAAACAACAACCCACCCACCCCCCAAATAACCTCACAATAAAAATAAATAAGCCATTCAAGTAAAATAAACAGTGCAAAATAACATAATGGAAAATCAAACACAGTGGGCGGGCCAAATGGACGACATAAAATGATTAAACTCTGGATGAGATAGCAATGAAAAAGGTATATTTGTGGGGGAGGAGCTACTCAAGCTATCCGACAATCAACATACTTCAACGCTCTGCAAAATGCATACATTTTAACATATTGTGCTCGTGGATTTGTCCTTATATTTGACAGTATTTTTGATGAAACAAAATTAGCACTTTTGTCTTTTTTAAAATTTTAATCCACTGCAATGGAGGCCACAAAAGGGAAGTTCATGGCCTCCCTCATTATCGCCTTAGCTGCTTATCTTTTGTCTTGCGATGGTGTAGACAGTTGCTGTCCTGCTAACTCCACAGATACAAGAGCGATAAAGGCATAATTTCCGGACTGACTTCTGTCAGTGCAAAAATGATACTTAAAAGCATTGCCTGGCCTTGGAAATTCCTAAAAAGTAGTGCTAGTGATCAATGGAAGGGTTTTTACATCCCTATATCCTGCTGCGTTCAAATAATAAGATAAATAAAGAAACTCTCAGAGTGGTGTACTTTCAACAGGTGGAGCTTGGGAATAAAACTGCACCTCACGTGAATTCTTAAAAAAATGAAAAAGAAATCTACAGCTAATTCTCTGGAACATCTTATGTGAAACTTGTGAAAAAGGTTCTTCACACAGGTAAAGTCTGAGCTGGAAACACACTATTCTTCTATGAGGAGGACGTTCTCCTATGTGAAAGTCATGATACCTTTCTCTCATCCAACAGTATGATATGAACTGGGCAGGGCAATGAGGAATAGCTTATGGACTTGTGTATGTTTAGTGTGGAGAACACACAACCGAAATGTAACTTAGAATCATAGAATTAAGGAGTTGGCCATCCAGGCCAACCTCTGCCAAGAAGCAGGAAAATTGCATTTGAAGCACCCCCGACATAGAGCCATCCAGACTCTGTTTAAAAGCCTTCAAAGAAGGAGCCTCCACCGCACTATGGGGCAGAGAGTTCCACTGCTGAACAGCTCTCACAGTCAGGAAGTTCTTCCTAATGTTCAGGTGGAATCTCCTTTCTTGTAGTTTCCTCTCAGCCTTCTCTTCTGCAGGCTAAATATGCCCAGCTCTTTAAGTCACTCCTCATATGGCTTGTTCTCCAGACCCTTGATCATTTTAGGCATAGAGTCATAGAATCATAGAGTTGGAAGAGACCTCATGGGCCATCCAGTCCAACCTCTGCCAAGAAGCAAGAAAATCACATTCGAAGCACCCCTGACAGATAGCCATCCAGCCTCTGTTTAAAAGCCTTCAAAGAAGGAGCCTCCACCACACACCAGGACAGAGTGTTCCACTGCTGAACAGCTCTCACTGTTAGGAAGTTCTTCCTAATGTTCAGGTGGAATCTCCTTTCCACCTGAACCTTCTCTTCTCTTCTCTCAGCCTTCTCTTCTGCAGGCTAAACATGCCCAGCTCTTTAAGTCACTCCTCATATTGCTTGTTCTCCAGACCCTTGATCATTTTAGGCATAGAGTCATAGAATCATAGAGTTGGAAGAGACCTCCTGGGCCATCCAATCCAACCTCTGCCAAGAAGCAAGAAAATTGCATTCGAAGCACACCTGACAGATAGCCATCCAGTCTCTGTTTAAAAGCCTTCAAAGAAGGAGTCTCCACCACACACCAGGACAGAGAGTTCCACTGCTGAACAGCTCTCACCATTACGAGGTTCTTCCTGACGCTCAGTGGAATCTCCTTTCTCGTAGTTTGAAGCCACTGTTCCATGTCCTAGTCTCCAGGGTAGCGGAAAACTAGCTTGCTCCCTCCTCCTGATGACTTCCCTCACATATTTATACATGACCATCATGTTTCCTCTCAACCTTCTCTTCTGCAGGCTAAACATGCCCAGCTCTTTAAGTCGCTCTTCATACGGCTTGTTCTCCAAACCCTTGATCATTTTAGTCATAAAATCATAGAATCATAGAATTGGAAGAGACCTCATGGGCCATCCAGTCCAACCTCTGCCAAGAAGCAAGAAAATTGCATTCGAAGCACCCCCCAACAGATAGCCATCCAGCCTCTGCTTAAAAGCCTCCAAAGAAGGAGCCTCCACAACACTCCGGGGTAGAGAGTTCCACTGCTGAACAGCTCTCACAGTTAGGAAGTTCTTCCTGATGTTCAGGTGCAATCTCCATTCCTGTAGGTTGAAGCCATTGTTCCACGTCCTAGTCTCCAGGAAAGCAGAAAACAAGCCTCCTCCCTCCTCCCTATGACTTTCCTTCACATAGCTTGATAGCTATCTCTTAATGTCTGAAGGGATATCATGTGGAAAATGGTACAAGCTTGCTCTCTGCCATTCCAGATATTAGGACATGAATCATGCAATTGAAGTTATTAGAAAAAATCTACCTAAACATTAGGAAGAACATCCTGATGGTAAGGGATGTCCTGATAGAATGGATTGCTTTGGAAGCTGATGGTTTCTTCCAGAATGTTATTCATTTAAATCAAGGGCATTTTGTAAAAAGTAATGGGATTGTTCTCAACGACACAGTTGGTTCAATTAACCAAATAAAGCATAAGAAATGTTACGATAGCAGCTTACTTTTGTATCAAATTATTTTCTTCTAATTACAAAAAAAAAAAAAACACTTTACCTTCTCTTCCTCTTCCATTAGTCAAATGATATTCCTTTGCATCTTCACTGTTGCTCATATTTTCCGTTTCATGGGATATATTGGAATTGCTGTCATCCCGAACATCCTTAACATCTGGAAGGATTTTTTTAAAAAAAAGAATGATTGTAAATCATTTAGGGAGTTGCAACATTTCTATTCATGAAAAAAGAGTGCTTATATTAACATTTTACAGATGTGAGAAACTGATCTGAGTGAGGCACCCAACCAGGTCACATGGACAAAACCCTACGCAAGGGAGCTGATATTCAAATCCAAATCTTTTGGCTTCGCACATAATATACATCCTTTACAAACAAAGCTCAAATAGCAGCAGCAACAGCATTAAATCATTACAAACATGTGCATGTGTAGTCACCAACCCTGTGCATGGAAGCAAAATAATCTACCAAATATACCGCAAGTCTTTCTTGATCAAGTTTCTATTTTAGGTTTCTTACTTATCCAGAGGAGTGGAGCTGTGATAGCTCAATGGGTTAAACCCTTGTTCCAGCTAAACTGCTGACCTGAAGGCCAGCAATTCAAATTCGCGATATGAAGTGAGCTTCCACCTGTCAGCTCCAGCCTCCCTTGAGAGAAGCCTACCACAGGATAGTAAAACATCCAGGTATCCCCTGTGCCACATCTCTGCAGAAAGCCAATTCTCTCACACAAGAAGTGACTTGCAGTTTCTCAAGTCGCTTCTGATATGATTTTAAAAAATTAGCCAATGTTTGGTAAGAGTTATCTTATGGCTATTGGCAGAAAAAGAGTCTTGCAATATTGGGAAGATGTGCAGGGCCACATTACCTGTAGATTCTGGCTGTTCCCGACAATTGCTTAAATCCATGCCAACAGGTGAATCTGCAGCAAGACACCAAACAAACAATTAGATCTTTAAAAATTAGGAACAAAAACAACTGGCAATTTTTCAAAAGGATAATTGATATCAATCATTGTTTTGAGAATAATAATGTAATAATAATAAAACGAATAATAATAAAACAATTAGATCTTTAAGAATTAGGAACAACAACCACTGGCAATTTTTCAAAAGGATAGTTTACATCAATCATTGCTTTGAGAATTATAACAATATAATAATAATAATAATAATAATAATAATAATAATAAATATGGATTGTCGATGTTGCAATCCCAGGTGACAGCAGGATTGAAGAGAAAAAACTGGAAAAGCTGACACGATACGAGGATTTAAAGATCAAACTGCAAAGATTCTGGCACAAGCCAGTCAAGGTGGTCCCAGTGGTGATCGGCACACTGGGCGCAGTGCCTAAAGACCTTGGCATGCACTTAAACACAATTGGTGCTGACAAAATTACCATCTGCCTGCTGTAGAAGGCCACCTTATTGGGATCTGCACGCATTATTTGCCGATACATCACACAGTCCTAGACACTCGGGAAGTGTCCGACGTGTGATCCATTACCACAGCTAGGAAAGTGATCTTGTCTGCTGTGGACTCATCTTGTTGTGTTTCAAATAATAAACTTTATTTGTAGTCTTCCCTATCTCACCAAAGGGACTTGGCAGTTTCCAACATGTATGTCAAACATTCAATGTCAAAAAGGGAAAAATATTCAAACAGAATTACACCAGGACATAGCTTACCTCATCCAAAAACTGCACATTTGCCATTGTTTTGGAGAAAAATGCAATATATAAAAAAGTAATGGATACATGGATTGAATTCTGACCCATACCATTCCTTTTTTAAAAAAATCAAAAGAAGCATTATAGTTGTGGTAGTGTGCTAAATTTGTCTCTTGATGTATAGGATCACAATCACAACCAATCCCTACGAGGTAAAGGTTTCGCCTTGACATTAAGTCAAGTCATGTCTGACTCTGGGGGGGTGGTGCTCATCTCAATTTCTAACCTGAAGAGCTGTTGTCCAGAGATGCCGCCGAGGTCATGTGGCCAGCATGACTGCATGGAGTACCGTTACCTTTCAGCTGGAGCAGTATCTATTGATCTACTCACATTTGCATGTTTTCGAACTGCTAGGCTGGCTAAAGCTGGGGCTCACAGCGGAAGCTCACCCCGCTCCACAAACATTTTGGTCAGCAAGTTCAGCAGCTCAGTGGTTTCACCCATTGCACAACCAGGGGCTCCATAACTATAGAAGAATGGTGTGAGTAGATGTGGCTGCAACAACTGGCAGACCCCAAAGTGTTATATTGTGAGAACACCAATCTGCGGAAAGGCATAGATCAATTTTGTGTGCATCTATTTGTATCTAGCTGCACGCGAAGATCAGTAATAAGAGAATAGCTATCTTACTGTCTGTTAATCTCCCATTACTTATTTTCACATCACAGAAACTCTGATCAGCTGCTAAGTGATAAAGACTGAAAAATGCTTTTGGATGGAGATTAATCAAGTGTTTAATGGCGAGACGTGACAGGTGAGACATGATGGTCTCTCTGCTTCTTCCTCTTATATCTCTGCATCGTTCTTTCTCCTCTCTTGTGATCTATCTATCAGAGAATCTGATGTCTGTTCGTTAAAAATAAAAAGGTCATACCAAAAATAAACCAAACCCCAGCCCTTGGTCCTGGCTGTTACATAACTGCAAAACTCAGCTCACATAAAGCAACAGGAAAGTGTTAACCGCTTCCCTTGCTTCAGTACTGAGGTTTATGGAACCTATATGGGCCCCCCCTGAAACGTTTGAGCGTATGAACTTTGAAAATAGAAGACCTTTCCAAACCAACATTACCACACCCCTCACTCCACACACAAACACACAGACACACATGCCAAAGTGTTGCTTCTCTGGATTCAACAGTAATAAGAGGCAATCTTTGACCCCATGCAACAAACTGAATGGAGAGGAATGGGTAGAAAAAGAGTGCCAAGGGAGAATTCCCACCAATACCATAATGCAGTTGATATTAAAACATAAGGCAGCACTGTCTCTGGACTCACTGAAAATATTTGGTCCCAACCCTAAGTACCTCCAGTGATTGCGACAATCACTGCCTCCCAAAGCAGTTACTATACTCCCAACTCAAGAATGGGAAACGTAATGTTTGTGGATAGGAAAAGAGATTAAAAGATGAGCTTAAGGTAAAGGTAAAGGTTTTCCTCTGACATTAAGTCCAGTCGCGTCTGACTCTGGGGTGTGATGCTCATCTCCATTTCTAAGTTGAAGAGCCGGCGTTGTCTGTAGACATCTCCAAGGTCATGTGGCTGGCATGACTGCATGGGGCGCCGTTATGTTTCCGCTGGAGCGGTACCTATTGATCTACTCACATTTGCATGTTTTCGAACTGCTAGGCTGGCAGAAGCTGAGGCTGACAGTGGAAGCTCATGTGTGGTGCTCATCTCCATTTCTAAGTCGAACAACCGRCGTTGTCCGTAAACACCTCCAAGGTCATGTGGGCGGCATGACTGCATGGAGTACCGTTACCTTCCCGCCAGAGYGGCATGTATTGATCTACTCACATTTGCATGTTTTCRAACTGCTAGGTTGGCAGAAGCTGCAGCTGACAGCAGAAGCTCTCGTCGCTCCCCAGATTCGAACCTGTGACCTTTCGATCAACAAGCTCAGCGCTTTAATCTACTGTGCCACCGGCTTAAAGCCAACCTTAAAAACTCTGGCATAGACACTGAGAAGTGGTAAGCCCTAGCTCTTGAACATCTAACTGGAGGTCAGCTGCGACCAACAGTGATGCAGAATTCAAAGAGACACGAATGGGGGGGGGGGCAAAAGGGAGAAACGTGCTAAGAGTTAGGTGCATCAAGCCAACCCTGACCAGGACTGTCTTCCACCTGGAAACCAATGTCCTCACTGCGGGAGAAGATGCAGATCAAAAATAGGGCTCYACAGCCGCCTATGGACCCACCACCAAGACACTGCACTTGGAGGATTATCATCCTCGAGATAAGCGGGATCACCTAACTGGAGCTGGAACCTCCAGTGACCCATCTCCACCCTGAAAACACATCGGGGGTAGCCATATTGGCCATACAGAAAAATATTAAAACATCTCAGACTTACACAACAGTGATATCTTTATCGTGCCAATCCAAAATGGGTACAATATGTGATGCAATCTTCCAAAGGAGGCAGCTGTTGGCATGGATGGGATCCATCTCAGACACTTCATTTGAGGGCCCTTCATACTATACAATTAGAGTGATATGATTCCACTTCAACTGCCATGGCAACTTCACATGGAATCCTAAGATTGAGAGCTGAGAATCCTTCCCTAAACTGCAAATCTCAAGGCTCCAGTGGATGCAACTATATCCAGGGTTCCATAGAATGCATTCAACTATGGCTAAAAAATTTGAAAAATTTCAAACAGCAAACCTTAATTTTGCCACATGTCAAGCACTACACTTTTTTTTTTGTTGTGTCAGGAGTAACTCCTGGTGTGAGATAATTGGCCATCTGCAAGGACTTTGCCCAGGGGACGCCTGGATGATTTGATCATCCTTGTGGGAGGCTTCTCTCATGTCCTCGTATGAGGAGCTGGAACTGATAGAGGGAGCTCATCCACCTCTCCCCGGATTTGAACCTGCAACCTGTTGGTCTTCAGTCCTGCTGGCACAGGGGTTTAACCCACTGTGCCACCGGGAGCTCCTAGCACTACACTAATGTATAGGTATATATGATGCAGCCCACCACCATTTCCTAGGTCCTCGGGTTCTCTTGATCACTTATTTGAATTGTTTACCATTGTATATAATGGGATTTTAGCACTCACAAACTTTGATATGGGGTGGGGGGCGTGGAGCCAACTCTCCATGTATATTGAGGGTCCACTGTACAGTGAAACCTCAACTTAAGAGCATTCTAACCTAAGAGCTATTTGAGTTAAGAGCCATTGCTCGGCCTTGATTTTGCTTCGACGTACAAGCAGCATTTTGAGTTAAGAGCTAGCACTGGTGGGAATGCTAGCGTAAGAGTATTGGGCTTCAAGGGAGTGGCCTCTGTGTCTTGTGCTATTGCCCACTTTGGGAGATCGCTGTCCGCTTTGCTATTGTCCACTTTGAGGAACTTTGGAATCATTGTTTCTGTATTTTTTTATTCCTGGTATGTTTGGCTTCATGAAAAGAGAGAGGGAGAGACAGCAAGAGAGGAAGGGAGTCTGGAATGAGTACAGTATGAAGAAAATGATGCTTCTACCTCTTCGCTTTCTGCTTTGCGCTTCCTTGCCACAACTTAGTACTTTTACCATTGTGTCACAACTTTGTCATTTTACCATTTTAAAGTTGATCTTTCTTTTTTATTGTTCCATTATACATTATTTGTTATTAATAAAGTAGATTTCCTTATTTAAAAACACATAACAAAAATTTGGGGGTTTTTTCGGTGGGCTGGAACAGGTTAATAGCATTTCGATGGGAAAATTCACTTTGAGATGAGTAATTTGAGTTAAGAGTTTAATCATGAAACAGATTAAATTCTAAACTCAAGGTATCACTGTATGTACTTTGAAATGGAATTGCAGCCATACTTTCTAACATTTTACAGACAGAAAACCAGAATCTATGTCGCCAACCAACAGCAGTGTGGCCATGATGACAAAAGTTATGAATGAGAATTAACAGGAGGAGCAGAAGGAGTTTGCCGAGTCTACAGGGAAGGAGAAGACCCTACTTCCACTGAGTTGACTATGGACCTCATCACAGACAGCCTTACCACCATTGAGATTTGCCAGCCTCTGCAAATCAGGGTGGTATCGCAGCAATCCCGGTGCCCTGGCCAGCAGCTGATGCTTCTCCATCCCACGTGGGAAAGCATCTATTGATTACAGCCAATGACCAGCATCAAAAAGATGTACACGGGAAAGTGTTGCCAAGCAGCTGATGCCTGGAGCAGCCCCGTT